TACAGCATATGTCTATATAAATGGATGCATGTTTGTATCATTTATATCTCTCTCTCTTTCTCTCTCTCTCTGCATCTGTCTATCTGTCCATCTCTGTCTTCAGGGTCGTGGCCTTATGGCTGAGAAGTACTGAGGTGCCCTTTCGCACCTTCCTCCTTTTTTTCTCTTCTTTGGCCCGGCCTTCATTCATGTCTTAACAAAATCGGGGGGGGGGGGTTGATAACCTTTCTTCCTCTCATTCCCGTCTTTAGAAAAGATGCTTCTTTGATCCAGAGGTTTGCTCTTTGGAGAGTTTATGAACCCAGAAAGACTGGGCCAAGGGAAGCTTGCTTGCTTCTCTTTTTCTGTGTCCATAAAAAGCTGCAACTGCTGGATGGCAGTTCTGCATTTTGGCCTTAAGGTAAATCCCAGTCCTTTTCAGTGGTGGTTTCGCTTTGGTGGAGTGAGGTCAGAAGTGCAGCTTGACTGTGTAGACTGATTACCTGGAAGTAAATCCTGCTGGGTTGAGTAGAGCTTTCGCCCAGGTAAGTGAGCCTGGGACTGTAGCTCTGGTTGTAAGCTTTGCTGGATTTTTGCAGGCTGTCCCCTCTCTGATTGTCTTACCAGAGATTCCCAAAGACCAGGGCATTCTGTGTCTCCTTTCTCTCTTGCCACCTTAGTTCACTTCTCTGTTGTGCTCCCCAGTTCTTACATTGTGCCATGCCTGTCTATGATACACACTGCTGCATGTTGCTTTGATGTACATACGCAATTGTATCTCATGTATCTTTGTAGAGTAAGGAGGAACAATTCAGGGCTAAATTTGCATTGTGAAACATTTGGTAAGTGCCACAGGTACTGAAACTGAAGGTGTTGAAATCTAGAAAACTTTCCATTTCCTCCCTGAATAAACAAAATTGTAAATGTCCAAGAAAGGCCTGCAGTGTGTCCCAGGGAACTTGCATTTGTAAAATAGAAGTCTAGCTATCCCTTGGGCTGTACAAGATACTTGAATAATTTGGATCTTGGCCATCACTTTTAAAGATAGCAGCGTCCTTCACTATTGTGGAATCAGTGGAATGTATGGACACATTTTCTATTTTAACTACAGATGAGCAAAGTAGCTCTTGTTCAATTCAAAGCTTATGCTTCTCCTTTGAAACATTGTATACATGTTTGTTTTATGTTTGTAACTCTTAAGAATCTTTGAATCATATTAAAAAGTGGCTTCTTTTGAGAGCAGATTATGGAATGGTGTTAAATGGTAATAGTAGTCACCAATCTGAGTTTGTTGTATTGTTATTTTCTAATTTTTCTCTCTGTCGTTTTGTTTGGTCTGTGTATTAAAACATTTTGTATTGATGCTTGCAAAAGTGAGAGTAGTGATATCCGAACGGAGCCAAACTAGATTGACAGATGAAGGGTACTGCAGGAATACTGCAGTTTCTCAGTACCAGACTTTAAAAACAAGTGTTAGGCTACTAGGTATATCTTGCATTGAGATTAGTTTTTGATTTTTAAAAATCCTGATCAATTACACCACACACTGATTTTTGATGTTAATCATATATAAAGATAGTTCATTTCTTTTCTAGATATAAATAATAACTTACTGAAAGAAAAAAAATGCAAGCAACTTGAAACTTCCACAGTTCTAACTTTGGAATTTGAAGACAAATTCATTCCTCATTGGAACTTGCTTATTGAATTGCTTTGAAATTAATGCAGATAGGATCTTCAAAACTATGCATGTATAAATTGCAGACCAAACATCACTTTCAGGCTCCCAGTGATTACAGTTTGTAAGTAGGTAATGAAAAGCATTAAAAGTTCATTTAAAACTCACAAAGAGTTCCAGGATTCCAGGGAGATAATGTTACACTGAAACAAAATTAAGTGTAGGTGAGCCTTTTTATAGTTAATTGGAATATAAACTGCCCCACCCCCACCCCCCTAAAAATAACAGAGACAGGTACTTAGGTATTAAGTTTTATATCCTACTGTCAGACACACAGCATCAGTTTGAGAAAAATGTCCTAAAGTTGGGATGGATGCTGGCCACAATTTGGACTTCAGGAATTGTCACTAGTTCTTCAACCTGAATCCATGTTCTATCTATTATTGTTAAGTTTCATCAATTTAGTTGTGATATATCTCTTACATTTTGTAGCTTGCTAAATTAGTTCTGTTATTCTAGTTTGTAAGCACTTGATATATTAGGATTTGTACTGAGAACTATATTTCAAGTTATTTCTATCCAAAAACATCTTTTTAAAGGAGGATTTCAGTAACATTGAAATGCATTTATTTATAGCCCACCTGGGTAGCAGCTTGTCGCCAAATGTGGCTGAACTTGGAAAACTATGCATTGTTAACCTTGTTAGTACTGGATGGGAAACCACCAGGAAATATCAGGGCTGTAGGTTAGACTGGGAAATTGGAAAAGCTTCCTGGAAAAAGGCAGAAGTTGCCATTTTTGTATTGCCAGGAAAACGTCAAGGACATGCTCATGAGGTCACCATAAGTTGAATACAACTCCAAGGAGACTTGACTTATTTTATTTATGAAGCGCCTTAACATTGGAAGTGTGTGAAAATAGGTTTTCTTATGAACCTAGAAGTGTCTTACAGGTTTTTGTATGAGAAATTGAAATATTTTATTAGGTTGTATTACAGATATATGTGGATGGTGCTCTCTCTGTCGTCATTAAATGGCCAATTGTTAATTCCAAAGTTCTTATTCATTTTCTCTCCCCCATACATACTAAAGGTTTATGCAACATTTGTACAGAGATAGGATTCAAGAAAACTCTTAAACATTACTTTTCAGACTTCATGTTTGTAAGTGAAATCTTCTTTGAGTTGAACAAGATTCCTGGTGACTTATATGTGATTTTCTTGATAACAAGAAAGTGGCTTCCTTGTTTTTTCCTTCAATGCTTTGTCAGTTTCTTAATTTAGCTTATAGCATTGGTATTTCCTAAAGGTATCCCATTCACATACTAACCAGACCCTATCCTGGTTAACTTCTGAATCCAGATAAGGTCACAAGGGCTAATGCCAGCTGAGACTTTGTTTATGCAGTTCAAAAATAACTGAACCTCATTGATTCATTAACATATTGATTACATTAGGACTCTGAAAGGAAAAAAATAGTACATATTGTCTTAAGTAAGACAAGTAATTCCAGCATTGGTAACACTGCATAACATAACAGTGATCCACATCAATTTAGGTCTGCCTTTTCAGAGAAGGTGCAAAGAAATCCCTACTACTTGGGCCAACTTCTTTTTTTTCTCAACTTTTATTGTAATGTGTTGAGAAATACTTGAATATCTTTCCGCTGTGTTAAGAAATGGGATTAACAATATGGTACCCATGAATATCATTTGCCAGGTTGTACCTGGGTATGGTATGAAAGTGGAGGCTGTGTTTCAAAATCTTTTACCAGGATAATTCTTTTTACTGAAATAAGGACTATTTAAAATGATTCCAAAATGGTAAGATAGCCCAAAATACTAATAAACAAATGCTGTGGTATTATTATTATTATTGTTATTGTTTCCCACCTTTATTTTGTATAATAACAAACCCCTTGATATGTAGGTCTGAAATGAGTTAAGATTTAAGAGTTAGCATTTTGATTTTGATTTTCAGCAAGCATTTTTCCAGTAAAGAGTTTAGAGATTGCAGTTTTGAGTAAAACTAAAATATTATAATCATCAAATCCCTACATAATTTTAATAGCTGTATTCATTGTTGTGCTCCTCATGTTTAGATATATTATTAAAATATTCCTAATATGTTTTAATTGATGTCCCCACTCCTATAATCATCATAATTGTATTTTAGATTTTTAAAATTTCATTCTTTACTACCTGTAAAAGCTATTTTTGATACTTGAAATAGTAAAACCATTACTAAGGGTAATATTCCTCCTAAAGGACAAGTAGCTGTCACATTCTGACTTGTGAAGCCCCCATGGAATCTTCCAACAGAATTTTACAGAATGTGTTATAGAATGGTGTTTCTTCAGGAAAAACCTCAAAAGACCTGAAAATGTTGTCTGCATGACCCATCATCACATAAGAGTTTCTCAAAACAGGGGATCAAGGCAGGAAATGAGAATGCAATTTTGGATCTGGCCTGACACAGAAAAAATGTAGGTTTGAAGGAGGTGAAATTTTAAGCCACCGTTGCCATGCGATGACCTTCCTGTTAGCTGGTTTTCTGGAGCCTCCAGTGCACATAGTAATAATTGTTACACAGCCTGAAATGGCCTTCCAACCAGAAATGCACTTTCAGTCAGTCTCCTTGACCCCTAGTCTCACAGTGCTGTTTTTAAAGGTTTATTTGTATCAGCTAACCATTAAAAAAAATGGCAATTTAGTTATATAAATCTATATACAATATACAAATGCATATGCCTTTAGGTATAAAGCTGTAGGAACCCTAGGAATTTGCAGCTGTTTGCTCCATGCGTCACTAGATAAGTCGTGTTATATCTGGTGCTATTCCTGGCATTCAGTACATCAGAGGAACAAACTTTTTTTGAAGACTGCATACTAAAAGTTAGTGATAGGGCCAAGACAAAAACCAAATTTGTTTTGATTTCACATAGACTTAAGTAAAATTAAATACAATTACTATTATTCTATAATCATATATTTAATCATTCCTTTATGTCACATAAGCATTTAATAACTTTTGGGGAGATCCTTGGAAGCCTACTCCCGGCTTTCAAAGGGCATCTGTGGCTCTTGGACCAGGGGTATGCATCTCCTTTTGTCTGCCTATATTGACTGCAGAGTGTGTTGTTCTCTCTTCTTTACATTAAGGAATCCTGGAATTTTGTTAGGATAAGTTGATCTACTGAGATTTGTCTTGCTTGTCTTTATCTGTACAATCTCAGTAGAAATTACTGTTCGCCTACCTCAGATCTGTGTGTGTGTGCGTGTGTGTGTGTGTGTTTTAAATACACCCAAGTATAAATAGTAATTTTCATGGGAAGTCTCCTTAGTCTGTATAAAATGTCTTGTACTGTATTCCATTCTTGGCATTTCCAGGTATGGCGGGGACTCTTCTGTAACTCAGTCTATGGACAGCATAGAGGGACCAGTGGTCTGACTAATTATAAAAGGGATTATTTATTCCAAAATAACGTCCATATTATAGTTTAGTGAGTTGAACTTAGCTAGTGACCGGCATAGAGACATCCATGCAGTTTCCTTGCTATGGCATGCAAGAGATTTGCCGCTATCTCTTTGAGAATATTGTTTTGATTTTTCACTCTAGCCTGCAATCCTGGGATTTTCTGGTGGTCTCCCCTCCAGGTATTAATCAGGTGTGAGCATGCTTAGCTTCTGAGCCCAGATAGTCTGCCACCTGCTGGGCCTTTCTGGGAAGTACGGGACTGTTGTAGAAAAGGAGAAGACACAACTTAGCTGCTGGATAAAGAGCCTCATTGACTTCACAGAAGACTGCTGGCTTTGCTACTCTTTCTGTTCCATATTAAACCGTCTTTGCTGGAAGGCCACTAATTAAACTCACCAGCTGCTTTTGGAGACAGTCTGGTTGTTGGAGGGGGCGGGAGGAGTCCAGGGCTGTAGTTTGCATTTTGCCTTGAGCTCATCTTCTAGCCTAGCTGTGGCTGGGGAAGGGCCCAGGGCTCCTTTTCCCAGCGTTTCCTTTCCTGCACTAAGCACACTCTGCTTTGATGGATGCCTGCATTAGTTGGCTGCCTGCAGAGTCCGGCTGGTCATGTGAGACTGATACGCCCGTTGGCTGGCCAGCCAGCCTCTTCCTTTCCTAGGCCGAGGTGAGGCACCGCCTCCGTTCCGTGGCTCCCTCCCTGATGTGTACTAGGAGCCGAAGAATAGCAAACTCAGGGTTCCTTCAGCAGCCAATGGCTTTGCTGCACAAGGCACTGGACTGAATTCTGGAGGAGCTGCTGCTGCTGCTGCTGCTGCTTTTGGATTTGTGCTGTCGCTAGATCAGACTCTGGAGATCACACAAGATAACAAATAGGCTGGGTGGTGGAAGTGGAAATGCAGGAACCATTATAAGAAGCGTTTCTGATCAGAGTGGATCTAACTGGAGACTGGCCGGATTTGCAACTTCGTGGCTCGCCTTTCCCCCCTTCCTTTTCCCAGTTGGCTTGCACTCAGGATTACTTCGGAAACTTCACTGAAAAGAAGTGTTGGGTTTCCACGCCCTGGCCATGTTCGGGAAACTGCCTGCCTTTCATGGATTTGTGCCCCCTTCTGGGTATTGTGTTTGCGCCGGCTGTCTGCAGGCCTAGGAATTTCCAGGAGGGGCCTCTGTTGTGGATTGTTTTTGTTTCTATGGAGAAACGCAATGAGCTGTTTTACTCCTGATGACGGGGAAATCCGCCTTCAGTTTTTTGTATGCGTGGAAAGGAGTCCTCGATACATGCCTGCCAGGAAGTAAAAGCAGCAAAAGAAAAGGTAGCACATTTTTAAATTGGCATTGTTCGGAGCCTCATATCCAAGAGTTGTAGAAGTCTGCTGTTGCCTGGCATATCACAGGCGTTCCTTGTATTTGTTTTAAGAACATGTGAGAAACACCTGTAGGTTTTCAGCAGATGGTAATTTAGTTGAATTAGTCCTTGCTTTAAGCAGTAGAACCGCATATCACAAATAAAATCTTCACATGCTTTAAATGAAAATAGAATCATTCCTTTAGCTTAAAATTCACTATATGTCTGAAATGTGACAAAGAAAGAGAGGAATCACTATGTAATATGTTTATGTTCTCTGCATTATCAAGTAACTCCATCAGTTTGGAATTTAGCATGCCCTGATACAGTATGCTAAAGAAATATAATTTGGCAATTTGTATTTGAATTCTTGAAGCCCTTCCAAGGATTGATCTAATTTAAAATCGTTATCTTTCATATGGTCAGAATATTTTGGAGAAGAATGTGCTCATCGTTTCCTGACTGATTGTACCTGATTTTTTTTTCTAGTACCAAAACACAGCAGATTCCCAAGTGTTCCCCCTTCCTGCTAGAGCAGAAGCCCTAAAAATACTGTGCACAATAGAATTTTGGAATCTTACAAGCAGATGGTGTTCTCACATAATTGCTGACTGTTGAGAACTAGAGGCTTTTAGTATAGGTACCAAGTAAAGTTTTGATGTGGTCAGAAAACAGATGTATGTGCATTGTGTAAGGTTTGAGATCTCCTTTACAACTGGGCATGATCTGACAAGCCCCATGATAATGAGGCAGGATCCCACATTTATCCACACCCTGTCATTTGTATTTTGAGAAGGTATACAAAATACTTAAAAGTGGTGAGTCACTGGCTGATTCTCTTGCTGGATAAAGATTAGCTTCAATTCTCTACTCCCAACACAGCAGGCTTTTGCATATATTTCCATCTGATATGGATGCATTTTGTTTTTGAAGATTTAAAGATTTGGAGTGGGGGGATAAAAATGGACAGGTTTGCAATTCCAGCTGTTAAAAACTGGTAATTTGCGTGTTAATACTCTAATTAATATAACATGGCATTAAATCTGGCCTATAGATAAAGGCAGTAAGGAAAGGTAATTGGAATTTCAGATTTTTTTCATGTAGTACTTCATATAACTGTTTGACAGTAATTTATACTTGGAATTGTACTGTTTTGGACCCAGAAGTGCTTTAAAAATATTTAATAATAAAGCATGAGACCTACAATAGTGGGGCTAACTCTGCCTATCAACCAATAAGCTGCTAAAGTGAGCACAATTATACTTTAAAAAATGGGAAATTAGTTTTTCATTAAGTCAAGTAAGAATTTAGTACTTTAATAACATGCCCAGATATTGCATCCTCTAGGAATGAAAAATCATCTCAAGTAAGCTAGATATTGAAGTTCGCAAAACATGTTTTTAGTAAAGGCAGTTTAGTTTAAAGAAAGAGCCAACATGATATACTGGTTGAGATGTTAGACTATGACTCAAGATTAGGTTCAAGTCCACACTGAGCCATGGAAACTCACAGTCTCTTTGCCCATTATACTTAACAGGATATTGTGAGGATAAAACTGGAGAAAGTACTATATATGGCAGGAAAGAAGTTAAATGAATAAATAGAGTCTTGCACCTGACTGGCTAGATGACTCTGATGATCATCATCATCCAAAGTGATAAGATTTCATCACTCAAGGGCTTTCTCTTCTGGCAAAAGATTGGCAAAATGGAAAGCTAAAAAGTTATTTTAAGCAAGCTCAATAAAATAGCTTGTAAAACATTTGTACTAATATGTTTAATATAGAATACAATTTTATATATTCTGTTCCACCCAAATAAAATGTTTATAATTGGCAGAGAATCTGGTTAGAAAACTTTTCTAAAGCATGCTCCTGTATGGTTAAGGCACCAGGCTAGAAACCAGGAGACGGTGAGTTCTGGTCCTGCCTTGGGCATGAAAGCCGGCTGGGTGACTTTGGGCCAGTCCCTCTCTCTCAGCCCAGCTCACCTCACAGGGTGGTTGTTGTGGGGAAAATAGGAGGAGGAAGGAGGACTGGGTATGTTCACCTCCTTGAATTATTTATAAAAATAATAAAGGCGGGATTTAAAAAAAGCTTTAAAAATATATAGATACAGAAAATTTGTATGAGAAAGAGTTGCCTTCCTCACTTTTCAAGAGTCGGTGTTATTAGATTCTTGATGGATTCTGTAACTTTGTTGATGGGGTTTCTGATTTTAATTGTGAGCCTCCCAGAGTCACCCGTTGGGGGGGGGGGGGGGTGGCATACAAATTTAATAATAAATAAATAAATAAAAATAAACTCTGTTCCTATAAAAATAGTGTGGGAATTGTTACTATAGTATAAAACTCAAATGATAATCTCTTAGTGTACTAAATAATTAGTTAGGGTTGAGCTTTGATAGACTTGATAAAATAGTTGGGACCAGTTGCTGTACGATTAAAGGGTGTGGAAATGTGATTTCTAAATCATTGTACAGGATTGAGAGGTTCTCGCACCTGTATTTTGAAATATGTGGCCTGGTTGAGTGTGGTTGTATGTGTGTAATGCCCAGCTTTTTGGGTGTGGGTGCTTTACACAATGGGGTATCCAAATATATGTTTGACTGTTCCCTCATTATAATACATTTGATTTAAGGAATGTCTTCTTGGTCATAAAACAGTTCTGGAGGAAATTTATTTTGAGTTTAATACATACGCAAGAGGCATTTCCTCTTCTTTAAGAAAAAAGATCTTCTCAAGATGGAATATGCTGCCCTTGCTTTTTTAATTACAGCTGAAACATAGCAGTACTCTGTTTTAACCATGTTTTCTCAGATTCCTAGAGGAACTTGCTGCCAAATAAATTAGGGCATTGTTTTAATTTGAATACTTTTAACTGCTGAATCCTTCCCATTAGTTGGCTTAAGTATTTTCACCATAGTTTTCTGGAGCTTGCACATGCTTCTTGGTATGCACAGGGAGACTTTTAGCAGCCCACTGAGGTTAGCTATATTTAGATATAGGTATTTAATTGCATTTCAGCCACACACAAAAAATGTAGCCAGATGGCCAGGGAAGTATTTTATGAAAATATTCTGATTAGTATGAAAAACAATTGTAAACTGTCATGTGGTTTGAAATGTGGCACCTTCAAAATATTGATATTTTGGTCCCTCGTGTTTAAGAAGAAACTGCTTTTCTATTTCTATTTAAATCCCTGCAAAGCATAATATCCTGAAATGTTGGCTAAGGGTGCTGCTGCTGCTCCTCCTGTGCATAATGCCATTGCTTGCCTCCTAGGTGTTTGTCACTAAGGTGATGGCAATTTCTGCCGTGCAAGTGGCCTGGCAGAATGGCTAATGATCACCCGGGGTGTCTTGAGGAAAGGTCTCGACGTCTCCAGAAGTAGGTTTCTTCAGCAGCGCACAGCTACCCAGGGAAGCTTTTTATTTTTAACTAGCAGCTAATTTGGTGATGTTGGGAAATCTTGACTGATCTCCATTACTGTACATTGTTAGGAATGGGCAATTTCTGTCAGTTAAGGATTTCCTATTGGGGGTAGAAAGATGCCGCAAAACAAGCCAGTTTTGATTACAAACACTGCTAGATTTTGCTTACAATTTTGGCAAAAGAGTTATGGTTACATTATTTGGTTTCTGTGCTGTCTAGGGTGTGGCCACAATCACAAGTTTGGAACCTCTGTAAAAAAGCTTTCTTAACCCCAATTCCGGGGGGGGGGCATTACTCACAGATCCTTTTTAGTCAAGCAAATTATAATCAATATTTAGCTATACAATATAATTTTTTGAGTTACTTATTGATACCTTAATTCGTTGCTTTATAAACCTCATAGATACTTGGGCTGAAATGCAGGCTTACTTAAATATATTTGCATTGTTGTTTTCAGTGAGACATAAAAGCATGCCTCAATGCATACTTTATGTTTTAAGGAACAGCATGAGGTTGGCACTGTTCCCAGATATTATTAAATAGAATAACATTTTGTATTAATGGGTCACCTAGTGAAATTGATTAGCAAATACATTCAGCCTTGACAAAAGATATTATCTCTTAACACAGTATTAAATATGTGGAATTCATACTCAGTGATGATATCCACTGGCTTAAGGAAGGCATTAAAAAAAAATTCAGCTTACTAGAGTCAATATTTAAATGAGCATTCTTTTTAAATATTAACTTTCTGATGATCATAATGCTTGAGGAAAAAGTGGGGAAAATGCTCATATAGTGATTCCGTTTCGGGTAAAACCTGTTGCTGTTATCAGAACCTCCCCTAAGAGGTCCTTCAGAGCAGATTTGAGACCTCACTAGAGGATAACTCCTTTAGCAGCTAGTGGCCATGGAACGTTTCAGAGGCTGTACACATCTATATACCAGTTGCTCAGAGAGGGGTATAGCTTTTATGTTCTCTGTGTCAGCATCTGGAAGCCACTGTGAGAAATACTTGCTGGAGTAAATGCACTGCAGGTTCTGTGGATCAGGCCATTCTTGCATTTGGTTATATATGAGAACTTTCTCCTGTAAAAATACGTTTGAGATTATTGTTGCTAGTTAAAAGGAGCTCACTTTGTTTTTGTTTTCCTTGCAGAAATGAGTCGTCAGACTGCCACAGCACTTCCTACGGGTACCTCCAAGTGTACACCGTCCCAGAGGGTACCTGCCTTGACGGGCACCACTGCTTCCAACAATGACTTGGCCAGCCTCTTTGAGTGTCCTGTCTGTTTTGACTATGTACTGCCACCTATCCTCCAGTGCCAAAGTGGCCACCTTGTTTGTAGCAATTGTCGCCCCAAGCTCACGTGTTGTCCGACCTGCCGAGGGCCATTGGGTTCTATTCGTAATTTGGCTATGGAAAAAGTTGCCAACTCCGTACTGTTTCCTTGTAAATATGCTTCCTCTGGCTGTGAGATAACTTTGCCGCATACCGAGAAAGCTGACCACGAAGAGCTTTGTGAATTTAGGCCTTATTCTTGTCCATGCCCTGGTGCTTCTTGTAAGTGGCAAGGCTCTCTGGATGCTGTCATGCCACACCTCATGCACCAACATAAATCAATAACAACACTACAGGGAGAAGATATTGTTTTCCTTGCAACAGACATTAATCTTCCGGGAGCTGTTGACTGGGTTATGATGCAGTCTTGCTTTGGCTTTCACTTCATGTTAGTACTGGAGAAACAGGAAAAATACGATGGTCACCAGCAGTTCTTTGCAATTGTACAGTTGATAGGAACGCGGAAACAAGCTGAAAATTTTGCTTACCGCCTTGAGCTAAACGGTCATAGGCGGCGATTGACTTGGGAAGCAACTCCACGATCAATTCATGAGGGGATAGCAACTGCCATTATGAATAGTGACTGTTTAGTCTTTGACACCAGCATTGCACAGCTTTTTGCAGAGAATGGCAATTTAGGTATTAATGTGACAATTTCAATGTGCTGAAACCCCAGTCTGACATTTTCAGGGCCAGTGTCTGGAAAAAAAGAAAAAAAAAACCTCAACCTGCATTCAGTTTCACAGAAACCGTGGTAAACATCTGACTGCTAGATGTGAACAATTGGGAGGGAGAGGCTAGCATAAATGAAGGTAAATTAATGGGAAGACTGTTCAAGTGCAGATAACAGTTGCATGTAATAACACTAATATATTTAAAGTGAGTCAGCAGTAAACCACTGAGAAT